TTGATTAAGCTGGTGGACTCAATGCCGCGACGATGTCAAGCAGTAATTGATTCTAAGGGCTTTCCAACAAAGTACTAAACAGAAGAACTCAAAATTCTATCCATTATAAGCCATTTACTTAGTAAAGAGTCTTTTTTTCTTAAACTTTTAATTTTGTCCGGATACTTTTGTCCATTCAATTTTTAGATTTTTTAAAATAAATTTTTTGGTTTTAAAGATTTGCTATTAAAGTAATATTTTTATTGATTATCATTCGATTTTACGTATTCCAGTGAAAATTTGAATTAAATTGGACCATCCAGTCAAAAGTTATAGACATTTTTGTGTTTGTCCGGATACTTTTGGCCGCTACTGTATATTCTCTCCTTAATCTAGTAAATCTGACAAATCTTTTAGTAATCAGGTTTAATATGAAGGCTATAATTAAGTTGAGTAATAGCATAGTATTAAGGAACAACAACAGAAACACTTGCAAATGATTTTTTTTTGTACTTCTATTAATTTTACTTCCTTTCTAATATTTTTATATATGCATGATGAAATGTATTCATGAATTATACTTTTTTTTTGTAGAATTCAAATTACTATGTGAATTTAAACCTGAATGACTTCTGAATGTTTTTGTGCTATTTATTTTACATTAACTTAAATATCTCTTTTTTTTCTCACATGAATTAATGAGTCATTTATTTTATTTTATATTCACAGAGCTTATTGCAAAGCATCCCATAAAGAACTTGTGGTTTCCACATCAATTCAGTGTTCCTCCCCACCAGCGAAAAAAAAAGTTGTTTTATTGAAGCTTTATGGCTCATTTCTTTCTAGTTATAATAAATTTATTTTTATTCTACAAACATTATTTTAATATCTAGAAATTTACATATTGTGCATTTAGTTAAGTGAGTTTTAGCATTCGAATGTTTTCCATAAATAATACAGGTGTAAACTAGTCATTAGAGTATTTACATTTACGTTCATGAAAGTATGATTGATAATCCTATATTCTGGATTACCTGACTTATTTTCTGTCTCTTAATTCTCTTAAGGTGACCTGCTGGGGTATCGACATCTGTCAATTAAGAATGCTTATTACACATAAGAGTTGTTGTAGTTTTATTTATGCAGAAACAGTTTTACTGCATGAAGAAATTCTTATGAACTTTTAAATTTTTAATTTAAATAATTAAAAATTATTTGAGGGATTTCAGTGAATTCTAAAAGATGTTGGCTATTTTGCATCCTAGCTTCAATGGAATCTAATGCTTTAGAAACATTAAAATATTATTTAAAAACTTGGAAAATGAATTCGAGATTTACAAACCTTTATGATTAAGCAATACACAATGATCTAATTCTGTGATTGGTAATTTCTCAAATATCTAGTTTTTTATTGTTAAGAAGTTGTCTAAGTTGAGAAAACTTTTAAAATATTGTAAACTGGTCACTTGGACTATCATTTTGACTAGTGTTGTCCAAAGTTTTTGAGCCAAGGCACACTTTAGGGGTAAGCCATGACCATAGTCGCACAGAGCATGCGGCTCGCATCAATTCCAAAAATGTTCTATGGCAAACAGTTTGGGCAACATTGATTTTGACTAACGATAATTCATAAAAATCTAGATCTTCGCTTAAATTTCTTTGAATCCTTAAGATTATAAATTGGATTTTTGTAAAAATTTGAACTAAATGTCAACTCAAGAATGAAAGTCAATTTCTTTTAATATTAAAATGTCTTGTTCACTCAATCCTTTAAGTCAAAATTTTTGTTTTTTTATTTGCTTAAACAAATTAACAACAGCACATTCCAAGGCATTTCCACAAGAAACCTTTATTCCAATATCATTCAAATTCTTTGAAATCAACTGGACATGCAATTCATAATTCAAAGCCTTAAGCATAAATCCGTCCACAAAATCATAACTGTGTCAGTCAGCCTCAAAAAACTACCCGCATAACTTTTTATTTGAGAAATTTTCTTTCAATATTTACCGAGAATTTTGAACATTTCTTCATCTCTTTTGCAGCTTCTGAAGACAAAACTAAATTGCATCATAAAAATAAAACTTTTTTTTGTTGCTCTTTCTTGCTCTAGATTATTTTGTTTCTCGGAATGAAGGATATTTGTTATGTTATTGGAATAATTTTTCTGCTTTGTGAAATGAATGGAAGTCCGAAAAAAGAGTAAGAAGGATAGAACAATAATGAAGAGTGTCATAAAACAATTTAGAGGCACAGAAAAAAAATACGTTTAATGGTTTTATGGTATGCATCCTTTTGCACTATTTATTCTTTATTTCATCCAATTTTTTTTGCAGTTGGAAGGGAAAAAAAAGGATTGTTTGGATATACATAAAGTTTTACTCTCGATACAATTATTTTCTTTGTCCGTAACAAATCTATTTGTTTAGATCTATTTGTTTGTGCACATTATGGGCTTTAATGGGAGTTTAAAACGAAAGCAAGGTCGCCTTTCTGTATGCAAAGCAGAAAGAAACCCTTTAAAGTAATTGTATAGATAAATTTTAATGTGTTTAAAATGAATAATTTCCAATTTTTACTCTTTAATTTTTATCTCTTTTCCTTCTTGAGAAAACAAAAAATAATAAAGTCAGCGGCACCATACGATATATAAACAGACCGAATGAATTGTGAAAGTACAATTTTATTATTATTACACAATGTGAGAGTAATTGGAAAAAGTACAATTTTTACGTCATTTTACAATTTATTTAAAATAAGAAAAAAATTAGAAAGGATTATGCTCAATGCACTCGATGGTGTAATTTTTTATGATTTTATTTTTCAAAAAAATCATTTCTTCATAATCAATTTTCAATTTCGATATTTACTGATTTACTTTCTAACTCATCATTCATGACTCACGAGATATGGCTGGATATTTTTTTTATGTAAGGTATTAAAATTTATGGGAGACTGTTAAATGTTATAATATGCTATAAAAATTTTGTAGTTAACTTTGTTGACTTCTGGGTAGATTTAATATTTTAACATGCTATGCTTTTGCATTATTGTGATTGCATTTGAACTCTGATGTCATGAAATGTTGTTTAACTTAATCCTTTTGAGTATTTTCGATGATCTGATTTTCAATTATTATTAAAAGTTATTTTCTGAAATCATATATAGCTTAGTAGATATTAGAATCTAACAGTTGGACTAATGATCAATAGAATTAACCTAATTTATTGGATCAGCTTTAGTTTCAATATTTAAAATAATTCAACAATTTTGATGAAATCTAAACATTGAAGATTTAATCAAATTTCGAATTTAATCGACTCTACTCAAAGTTATACTTCTTGACTCGTACACAACTTAAGTACAGATTATAGTTTATTATTGTCCTTATTACAATTGGAATAAATAACAATATAAGTTTGGAGAAAGGATATTTTAAGAAATTGTCTTCAAAATTCACAAATTCAACTTCTGTTATTCTACAAATCAAAGAATATTTGTACAATGGTTTACACAATCCTAAGTTCCTTAATCTACATGATATTAAAGATAAAAAAAAGATGCTCATCAGGCTAACAACAGAACCATTGAAAAAAAGTCAATAAATTTCCGAGTTTAAAAGTTATTGACTTAAAAATCCGTTAATATCATCAAAATTGCGATCAATCTTAATTCAATGTGCAATTCATCCTTGAAGACACAATTAAGTCATATTTTATTATAGTTTAAATCTCTTTATAAACTCAATTGACACTCTACAAACTATTTTCAACAACCGATACGAATCAATACCATTTTTGAACATCTGATCTTAGGATAAATTCATCGATAAAGCCAGCCCATAAAGTATCGAGACTTTTGAACTTCAAATAATGTGAAACAACTCAAATGAAGGAGTTCCTGCATTTCGTTTCTTTTCATTTATTTTTTCAACATGTCAGTCAAAAAATAAAACTCATTGTAAATTAATAGTGAATAATGTTCAATTATTTTCGTATATCTCTTTCTATTTCCTTATTTAAACGGTTCGTAAATCACCTGACTAGGAAATTCTTAATTTTTTTTAACTGTGTTTTAATTTTTAAATTTGGTTTGTGTCTTAGCTGAGGACCTTGTAGAAATTTTTGTGAATTTTTGCAGCATCAAAAAGTAAGTTTTATTAATTAAATGAAATTGAATAATTTGCAGTAATTTCATGGGTAGAAAGTTAAGAATCAAAAGAAGATGTGAGTATATTCAGGAATAGAATCAATGGATGTAAAGTTAAGGGGGTACGCTGATGTGATCAGTCCATATGAACACTGCGCAGTCCAAATGGCTACAGGAACTAAAAAATTGTGAAAAAAAAGTTTTCTATTCTGATAATCACCAATCAAATGAAAAAATAGTAAAGCTTTTAAAAGTAGAATAAAATTGTAAAAACTTTATTAAAAACGTGCACAAAAATCTCGCCAACATAAAAGTTCAATAAGATATCATTTACGGGCAATTGTAAAAAATTAAAGAAATCTTTTTTCTTCTGGCTAATGTGAACTTTTTTTTCTCCTCCAACATTAAGGGTGTATTTTTTTAAAGGTGAATTCAGAATTTTTTTTTTTGATAACGATAAAAGTGTTCATTGCATGCCAGAAGTTGCTGAAAAAACGCCTTTAAAAGTTAAAATATAACCGATAAAGTGAATGTAATCAAGAATGATAAGCCACAACATCTCGACATGAAATTCGGAAAAGTCAAAAGAATATTGAAGTGAAAGATATGAAAAATACTAATAACAAAAATAATAACCTATACATTAAGAAAATCGATATAAAATAATTTTTTTGAAGTGAAGAGAAAAAATATTCCAAAAAAAAAGTTAAGAAGAAATTTAAATTAATTTATCTCTGTACTGATAAAATTTCGCAAAACAAATGAAACAATTTTGTGTCGTTTAATGAAAGCAGTCAAAAAAAAGTTTTTTTTCAGTCACTTGAACCAATGATAATGAATTAGAAAAATATATAAAAACATATACTAATACATAAGAAAAAAAATTCATATACTTATTTGCAAAGACGGTAAGAGAGAAAAAAATATATAATTTTTTTTTTTTGCTTAATCGTTGCAATTGTCGATTGATTTTGAGACAGATGAAAATATATATTTTGTGTGTTTTAATTAACAAAATGTGACAATTAAAAATATTATTGATTTAAACTTAACAGTCAGTAAATGGCATATGAAAAATTCTGAAATTTTTTTTTCTTCTCAATTTTTTTTATTTGAAATAAATTTGCCACAAGTGCTGCTATGCATGAGAAAAAAAATTAATTTAAAAAAAAAATGAGTTGTGGAGAGTTGCCGGAGATGAATGATTAGAGCGCATTTTTTGTGATTCTGGTTTGGAAAAAGATTTATTTTTGAAGATTGGAAATTGACATTTGAAGAATTAAACTCGTGAGCAAATTTTCACATGCTTTATTTCTATCGGAACAGCTGAAAAATTCCTTAATTTTTAAACAAATTTTTTCATCCAACAAAGTTACGATTTTACGTTCATTTGACTTGTAAATGTCGACTTGATGTTAATGCATAGTGGGTAGTAATTTACTCTATTTAGTAATTCTTAGTAAAAAAAAATACTTTAATATTCACTAAAGTCGGAACTACTTAGTTAAGTAAACAATATTTGAATTATTCTGAAAAATTTGACTTTAAATTGCTAAAAAATAAAACTTTTTTTTGCGATTTTAGTAACTTAATTTTTTATTTCAATCGAGTTCATTTAAATCTCATCTACATCCCCAAAGTGTGAGCAACTCCACACTCACTCCTGAAAAATGTCCGCTAATGTGAACATATATGTACATGCATATACACATATTTCTCGATAGAAATTTTCCGTATGATTTTTCGTGTATTTTTATCTACTTATTAAAAAAGTGTTGGGAATCATCATACATATATTCTCTCTCTCGGTGTTTATTTTTATATTTTAAAAGATTTTTTTTTTTTTTTTTGGAAATTAGCACTTTTTTCAAACCTAAAACTGCAAATACATTGGAAGACAAAATTTGAAACTCTAGATAGATTATTGTTACTTAAAATGTGCTGACAACTCTTAGTGAGAGTCTGACTTCAATAAATGAGATGATGTTCCGAAATTGGATTCTTATAAGAATATTCTGAGCCAATTGATGGGAAAACAAACAAGAAAATGTCTCGGCTCAATTACATACAAGCGTCTTCCTCTCATGAATTTTGTGTTGATTTACTAGCTTTGTAAAATGTTCCGTGGAACATAATTTTGATATGACTGTCTAAGATAAATGTGACTATGACCCGGTGCGCGATACTCGTAGTGAAAACAAAAAAAAATTCTCAGATAAAGTGATGAAGTTTCTTACATGAAAATCTTTTTTTTCCTCTTCTTCTTCTTCTTTTTTTCGTACAAAATATTCAGATTCGTTAGACGCCTGATGATTGACCTTGATACTTTTTATCACTTAGGATTTTTCCTCACACTCATGCAATTCCGAAATGAAAATCTATACGTATCTCCTAATCGATAATTAATATTTCCATCTCAAGTCAATTCTTAATTCTTGTTCTTATTCAATTGGTCACAAAACAAAAATTGCATATATGCTGACAACATTGTTGTAATTTATTTGAAGGTCACAGATTTTTAATTCTTGAAAAAAATACGCTTGAAGAACATGATAATTATAAATAAGATACATTTATGATTCATCAATTGTATACTATAAATATTGAGATTATAGGTTTCAGAATCATATGTTTCAAGCTTATCAATTATACGTTCTAGGAAAGTAGATGAACTTTAGGAGTAGATTTGTGTAATTATATGAAAATATTGTAGTACTTCCGATGAAATATTAATTGATTTTATGAATGAATTCAAGTGGAGCTTCAATTGTGATCCAAAATGAGATTCAGCAATGATCAGGCAAAGGAATTAACGGTTATCCAGTTTTTGATGGAGTTTGTAGATTGTTTTTATGATTTGAATGCTTTAAAATTGTGTAACTTTGGAGTATGAATATGTCTTTGATTTATTTTTGGTCCTTTAGATCCAACAGGATCCAACAAGCTATTTTTTACCTTTTTTCCATGGTAGGAAAGCTTTATTTACAAGTTGTATGATCATTAATCCTATAAAAATCAATTTCATTCCGATTAAGATCTAAAATCGATCCAAAACAACACGTAAATTCAGCAAATTTTATACAAAATCCAGATCAAGTGATTCAAAAGTTCAGTATCCTCATCAGTGACTCATTTTATTGTTGACAACTATCGTCTTGTTTTCCAATCACAATTGATAATTTTACACAACAAAATTTGATGAATCAAATAAGCTAATTGATGACTACTGACTGTTTTTAGGCACAACAATCAATGGTGAAATTCGAGTGAATTATTGTGCATAAACAAAATAATAATACGGTAGCCAATATTATCAAAATAATAATTCAATTAAATCTGGAAAACCCATAATACTTAAAAATGTTTACGATCGATTCTAGGAATGAATTTTACTTTATGTTGCGTCTGCTTTTAATGCCTGCTTATTTCACTATTTTTAAAATTAACAAAGAATCAATTTATAAAGCACACTACAGATTTCTATATGCCAAAGTAAGTTCTGATGTTATTCATGCAGTTCACATTCGCAGTCATAACATTTGTTATTTAATCATCACCTGATAAACAGTTGTTCTATATTTCTATATAACTTGCACCTCAATTACAATTTTTCCGATTCTAGCCACTCAAAGGCAAACATGATAAACAAAAAGAATGAAGGTGATTCCCACTAAATTCATTACGATAACCACGTGAAAATTTTCAACCATTTCAATTGAAATTTTCATTTTTATAAGTACTTTGTTGCTTTATCTCTGCATCTTTGAGTCATTCACTCTCAATCAACAAGTCATTATAAATTGATCAAGATAAGATCTACAAAATTAAGTGCTTTAAATCGTGCACCGCATACGATTATTACTATCAATTTTTTAAAAGGCCATAAATGTTGCGATATGAAATAATTTCACGTCTTAAATATTGAATTTCCGGAACTAGAAAAAAAATAGCGAGACTTTGGAACCTTCATACATGTCAAAATGATCACATCTGAGGGAGTTGTTCATAAATGACATCTATTAAATTAAACAACCCCTGTGTCCAATAAATTTCATATGAAACCTTATTCTTTTGTATTGAAGCATGACAAGCCTTTCCTCAACCGACGAAAAATTTGGTCAGCATTTATGAACAACCCCTAATGTCTTTCAATTTATCTACATGTATTAACATTATTATTATTTATTACTTTGTACAATAAGCAAGAATAATTATTGTTCAATGAAAGCTTCTTCAGCGCAAGCCACACAGTGTGAATTTCAATTCAGTCAACTCCATTTAAGTGTGCAGAAGCATCGAAAAATAAAAAAGATTCTCAATTAAGAAAAGAAAATTTCCAATCAATTTTTATAACGAAACTTTTCAGTAATTAATTTCGCATATACAACATTATTTATTTTCCTTCACAATTTCTCAGCAGTAGCACAAGTAAAGAAGAAGTATGTATGTGTGCACATGTATGTACATCTGTAAATATATTCAAATAATTTATTTATAAAACTGATTGACATAATAATGCAAGGTTCATGTTTATACCGATCTTATTAATATTCATTAAGAGCTATACGCTGTTTTTTTTTTATTTCTTTGGAATTGAAAAAGTGACGAAAAAGGCATAAAACAAAAAATAGCCAAAATCGAATATAAAAGTAGACTAATTGCATGAGACAAATACTAATTCGAAATTCTAATTCATATGAGTATAGAGAGCAGAACTTCTTAGAAAAGATGTAGTACTCGAGCTTCTGCTATAGATGGAAACTTGTTGATTGTGTGCAGAAAAAAAGGAGCAAAAATCTGTGCGCATTCAAAAGAGATTATAAATTGCTTACATATATAGTATCAACACGCGTGCTGAGTGGATAGACAGAGAAAGGATTCCTTTCTTTTCATTTTCTTTTCTCAATTCATTCATTGATTTAAAGAAAAAAATATATATTAAATACATATCGTAAATTTTGTATAAATACACATCCCCGCATGCTTGTTATGCTCTATCAATTTTTTTTTTATTATTATTTTATATACATTCACAGCCTGCAGTGATAAATTTTTGATAATTTTGTTGTTGCGCGACAATAAACAGTCATATATACACGCGAGTGAATGAATGAGTTGAGTGATTAAAATTAATAGAGAAGCAGACCGATAGTTTGTGTAATCAGCTACAATGGAATATGTTTTTTTTTTCGCTCTTAACATCTAGTTGAGTTCATATCGTGCATTGATAAATTGCCGAAATTTTTTGTTTTTTTTTTTTCGAGTCACTTTAATTAAAATCATTTACTTGTTCCCACACATTTTGTGACATTGATTAGGCATCTTTTCAGCTGAAATAAATCTTTTAAATGTACAAGATCTTTTGAGATGTGTTTTAAGACATTATTTTTTGCAATCGGATGTATCTCGGGGATATTATCTTATTTAGTCGACAAAATCTTCAGTAAGCATCTCGTCTTGATAGTTTTAAGTCATAATATCATAAATTATCCGGAAACAACTTAGTAAACCTTTTAAGCCCTTTGATTTCTATTTTTATAGATCAAAGAATCCAAAAAGTACCTTAATATCAAACAAGGTAGAGACACAGCTATATTTGACTCATTTATTCGACATAGACACTTATCAAAAATCGTGTAACATCATTAAAGAGTTTTAATTTTTGACATAACTCATTTTTAAGAAAAAAAGCGCCAAGACCTGTGTTCATAATTTCTTTTTCAAAAATATAATTAGCATTTCTCAATGAAATGAGTTATGGTGTTCGCAGTTTGTGTGGTCCTCAAAGGATTACTCTTTTAAATTAGCTCAGTAAAAGTGAATTAAAATTAAAATATCTTGGTGACACAAATAGGTTAAAATTGTTTCAATTCTTTTGGTCACAACGATCTGAATGGTGAAAATTATTTTCATGTCTCAAATGAAGTATTTTAAGTTGGTCATAGAGTGATAATTCGTGTATAACAATTTGCAGGGAAGCTTTAAGGAGTTCGAGAATAAGAAAGTCATATAAAATTAAAGGAGGGAAGCGGGGTCGTCTTTTCCACTTTACTCTAAATTCAACTTAATTAATTAAAAACTTTCTTGTTAAAATTGAAACCAATGTTATCATTAATGCGCAGGACACACTTCATTTGTTAAAAATTTATATCTTTATTAATAACAGAATCTCAATGACTTAGCAAATCTGGCTTATGATAGACTAATAAAGACCAATTGTCACTTTCTTGATCATGCTTGTATTAAGTTTTGAAAAAATAAAATCCCAATAATTTAATTAGAACCTCAAGAGATCATAAAATATTTTAAAATTTGCTATACTACTGAAAGATCGTTATCGCTGTATTTCGTAGAATTTCAAAGTCACTGATCAAATATTTGAGAATTCGTGGATTATCTGATTTGATTTTTGATTAAAATTTCTTTAAAATCAAGTTTCATTCCTCACTCGATCAAAAATCAGTTTAATACAAATCTTCAGTTTATTCATAATTTCATTGAAGATAGACATCACAAAAATGACCTTAGTAACCTCAAAAATCTTTGATCAGTTATAATAATCAGCATAGAAATGACCATTTTAAATAAGATTTAGATTTCATAATTCAATTCACATGCTTGACTTGCGAATTAAGTTATTTATCCAGATTTTTGCAATATTTTATTCATTACATCATTTCTGCGACCGGAACCACCGAAAAAAAAACACATTTCCTGTAATATAAATCCAATCTGTTTTCATTTGATTGAGTCAAAAATTGACATTTTTACTTTTTAAATCATCTGAAGAATTTTATAATATTTTTTAGATATCAATTTCTTATCTTTGACTTTGTTTATGCGATTTTGCTGATCCGACTACGTTTCTCGAGTGCTAGAGTGTTATCATTAAATTGTTCCTATTATACAACAGCTCCTAATCTTCTGGAATTTGTGCTTTGAAAATTAATTTATCTATGCCTAAAATTTGATATTCACAAGTCATTTTTATGACCTTGACCAAGTTAATAGCCTTGACCTATAAACCCCGAAAAAAATTGTACTTTACTTCCAACATAATTTTTTTACATAATTGCCAATGACAACAAAAATCATGTTTGAAATCTGATGTTGAAGCATAATTGAGAGAAATTGCTGAAGTACTTTTTTTCGTTTATTTTTGAAGGCGTTTATGGATTGTTACAATGTTATATAATTCCAGTCTATTGATCACTTGAACTGATGAGAAGATTTATATTCTTTTACTTAAAATAATTTAAATTAATGTATGACACCACTCGAGTGGCTTAAATTCACAAAATCAAGAAACGCGCGTGCGACAAATGGATATGTTATTTTGGAAATTCAGGGATGTAAGAGATGTAATTGGAATGAAATGATTTAAACGTTTTTAATTCTGAAGGATTTAATCTAAGTTTTGAGATTTTTCGTTTTTTTCGGCGATTAAGGATAATTAATTGGCGTTGTAGTTCAATTTCAACGGATTTGACTTACATTTGACATTTACTTCTGACGTCAAGGGGGGGGGGGGGGGGGGGGGGGGGGGGGGGGGGATTCAGCAAGAAAAGAACAATAGAAATTCCTGGATATCAATTGTTCTTTTTTGAAAAATGACCGTTAATTTCGGACGTCATAAGTAAACGACTCCCTAAGAGTCATGCATTTACTTGAAAAATTTGTCATTTTTTAAGTATGAGGATATTCAAAACTGAGGAATTTGAATTTTATGACTAGCATTAATGAACGATAAAGACCAGATTTCTTTTTAGACAACCGTAAAGCGACGATTAAGACCTCATTTCACATCTAATGACTTCCTTTGGATTATTCCCGACTTACTTACTTACTATAACCATGTTCCTGTGTCAAGCTTAGGTTACAACAAGAGGCTTTCCATCTGACTCTATTGCTGGTTTTGTGACCTAGTTTGTAGCACATTAAACTGATATTCTTTCATCACTGTTCTGCGCCAAGTAGCTTTTGGAGCTCCTGGACGATTCCCAACGTTCCTTAATAAATAACATCTTATCCATAACAAATTTTGTTATTTAATTAATAATAAAGTTCAATTTAAAATCTTCAAAATTTCAACCTACATAATTTTTGTGCTTAATAAAACAATTTTTATAATTTCTAAATTTCTTTTAAAAAAACAGAAAATTTGTGTAGGTTCAAAAATTAAATTTTATTACGACTCTATTAAAATTATGTATTTTCACATTTGAGAATTAAAAACCAAGCCTGAGACAAATCATGCGAAGATCTACAATCTAAAATTTCCAACTTGCATGCAATGCTCTTCAACTGTTTATTGTTGTGATTAATTTATAAACAATCTCAATATTTAGTAATCAATAGAATGCGTATGATGACTCACAAAAATGCGTTAAAATCGCTCACTTACGAAAACTCTTATAAAAAAAAGAAGAAACATTTTTGATTTATCAGATAAAAAAATATATTTTTTTTGTAAAGAGAAGAAAAAAGAAATGAAATGGAAATATGAAGGAAGATAGAGAGAAAGAATTTATATAAATTTTATTTTAAGAGACCACTTTCTCACTCGTTCATAAGATATTTTAAATTTTTTTTTCTTTATTTTTAGATATCAGCAGCTAAAGTGTGAGAAGGAGAGAAAAGGAAAGAGAGAATTCCAATAAGAAGCATATTAATTGAATGAAATAATATAAATATACATAATAGTAATAAACTCAAAAAGGAAAGAAGGAAGAGATACAACAGCTAATAAGGAATACATATATTGGGAATGAGAATACTTAAATCTATAATTACGCTAGTAGTTAACAAATATAACTAAGCCATATAAAGGATCAAGAGCAGCATTTGCGGCAGCAACAAACAAACTTTCATCTTAATATAATTAAATTCAAGCAATAGATACGAAACAACTCGTGTGTGCAACGGCGGGCGATTTTTCTTAAGATCGAACGACGCTGAAAACGCACACATAAAAATTTACATTTATACTGGCTCGTAACGGTGAAGCGCGGGGGACAACAGAATCTCCCGATACACCTGACGGTGGTCAGTCATCATCGTGTTGGTGGGTAACAATGGGGTGTTTTGGTTCAGCTAGTTCGAAACAGGCAGATTCAAATAGTACAGATGACTCGAAAAGTCAAAAAAGGAGGAGCGATGCTATCACAAAGCAACTACAAAAGGATAAGCAGGTAAGAACTTTTGAAAGATAAATGGGGTCTTTGATAAATGATGTCAACATTTTTGGAAATGAAAATGTGTAGATATCCATTAAAATTTTGTGGGCGAGAGGGAATAAAAATTCAATTTTTTGATAGATATGATTTATGAAGGACCCTTAAATGCTGATAACTAATCATGACTTGGTAAAAAAAAGTTGTTGAGATTAGACTGATATATCTGTCAGTTGGTGATCTGGTTTTATGATTAACCAACTTGAGTTGCTAATAGATTCAACTTTTGAAGTTCTAGTTCCATTATAAAAGTACTAAACAGCTACTAAGTTCGGATAGACATATTTACTTGAATTTAGGGAAAAGGTACACTAATCATCGTTCAGCTGAATCTATCGTGCACAAGCAAGCTTGCTATTCTATATTTTCGAAACTGTTCCTATATCTTCTATGATATAGTTGAGATCTATCCCGAATAGCACAAGCTGGTTAATCGAATAGAAATCTAGCACCAAGCTGGCGTGACTGTGGCATGGTACTGGCTTCGATTTAAATTCAGCACTGTGCCAAAGTTACACCGACTTGTGCCATTCGGGTATGTCCTGTTGAGCTTATCTTGTCGAACATTAAAAGTATATATTTCCCTAAAATATTGAAACTTCGAGCATAATGAGGCATATTAAGTTTTAGTAGACCAAATTTCCAATGAAATGCTATTTAATGGAAAGTTATTTGTCACAAATTCATTGCTCAGATAAAACGTAACATATTCACAGGAATTCTCTTAACAACAGAGTAATCTGCAGCTGAACACAAAACTGCAAGTGGTCATTGAATGCAATTATACATTAGCACTCTATCCAATACCACCTGTGTAGTTAGTATTTAAATACATCCTGTGATCATAAGGACTGTACAGTCAAAGCAAATTCCTCAAATTTCTTAACTCTATACGCCGTATGCAAATATTTAACATGACTATTTTCAACTCGAAAGTAAATTTTGTGTATTTCATTTCAATTTTAGGTTTACAGAGCAACACATCGATTGCTCTTGCTTGGCGCTGGTGAATCAGGCAAATCAACAATCGTTAAGCAAATGCGTATTCTTCACGTGAATGGTTTCTCTGATACCGAGCGCAAACAGAAAATTGAAGACATCAAGAAAAATATACGCGATGCAATATTGGTAAATAGAAAAAAAATATATAACTGAAATGAAAAGAAGATGAGACGATGAGATTGACATTTTCTTTTTCTTTACAGACGATTACAGGTGCTATGAGCACTCTAACACCTCCAATATCATTAGAGAAACCTGAAAACCAAGCAAGAGTAGACTATATTCAGGATTATGCTTCAAGTATGTTCTTTAATGATGATGAAAAAAAAATTACATTTATACCTGTGCCAAGTGCACGATATATTTGTGACTTTTTGTATGAATTTTTGATATTTATTTAATTTTTGTTATTTTTAGATCCTGATTTTAACTATCCACCTGAATTTTATGAGCACACGGAAGAGCTTTGGAAAGATTCTGGCGTACAACAAACTTTTGAACGATCCAATGAATATCAACTAATTGATTGCGCAAAATAGTAAGTGTGATTTTCAAGAGTCAGAAGCAGACATGAGGAATGAAGCAGATTTTGAATTTTTTTTAATCAGCCAGAAATGCTCATTAATGTTATAATGAAGTTGCAAGTCTTTCAGATAGTTTTTGAGTACCTAGAAGGTACTAATATGAAGCTATATACTTTAATCAGCTATGACTGCGAAAATGTCAATTTGATTCCGAAATATAGATTCTCAAACAAGCGTATCCTATTAATTACGTCTGAAACATGAACAATGTCCTCAAAATCTGCAATTACTTCCTCAAAACAGTTCAAACACATCTCCTTATAATGATCTAATTTCAATTGCAGTTTCTTGGATCGAGTTAGTGTAGTAAAGCAACCTAATTATACACCATCAGAACAAGATATTTTAAGATGTCGTGTCCTGACATCGGGTATATTTGAAACCAGATTTCAAGTGGATAAAGTTAATTTTCAGTAAGTATCGATAATCCCATCACGATAATAATCAATTTATGAATTCACCTTGCTATTAATTGTCTTCAATTTCATTCTTATCTATTTACATCTATTTAGTATGTTTGATGTGGGTGGTCAACGAGACGAACGTCGAAAATGGATTCAGTGTTTCAATGATGTAACTGCAATTATTTTTGTGACTGCATGTTCTAGCTATAACATGGTGTTGCGCGAAGATCCGACACAAAATAGATTAAGAGAATCATTGGACTTATTTAAAAGCATTTGGAATAATAGGTAGGTTACGTTGGTGATGTATATTTATATTTATAGGCCTCGATAGCCATGTGACAGCTGCTGCAAGTCATAAAAATTTATTAAATAATCAGAGAATCATATTGAAGTCAATTTTACTTCATGCAATGTGCCCACGATGGAAATGTCGGCTATTTTAAGTAATTACTTGTCGGTCTTCAAAGTTCTCGGTTTACAATTTTCTATAGATTAATGTTTTGGATCATAAAATATGTTGTGTTAATTATTAAAGAGTTAATTAGATATGAAGCCTACATCATTGTTGTTTAGCTTATTGAATGAATCTAAGCAGTGGCTGAATGTGCTCACGTTTGACTCCTGAGAAATACAAGGATCTATGTTGAACTTCATATGAATTTAATCCTTAAGTTGTGTCGCTCAGGACTCAATCTTTGATAGATGGTTACATAAGCCAAAAATCGAGTTAAAAGATTGTATTTGGGTACTGACATAATCAGGTAATACTAGGACATGCTGACACTGCCTGGAATTCATTTCTATAATAAGCAAGAAATTTGTATTATATGTAATATAACAGTTTTAAGCGTTAGGGTACAAACAGCTGACAATGAGCATATATGTGTCGGGTCAGGGTCAAGTTCATCATCAAATCTCATTTGTTGATAATATTTTAAATAAGTTGTCGAATTTCCATATTTTTATGACTGTCAGGTGGCTACAAAATCAATCGTATGCTCAATGATGATGGATTCCAGTCCATCAAGTTGTTTTCCCGTTTCTTTGACAATAAATTGCTTATCTTCCGTTCTTATTTATCCTTACAGATGGCTTAGGACTATCTCAGTTATTCTATTTCTAAACAAACAGGACTTACTAGCTGAGAAAGTAAAAGCACAAAAAAGTAAATTATCTGACTATTTTGCTGAATTTAATAGGTATCAAACACCAGGTGAGTTTCTTAAACATGATGACTTCATTATTATTGATTATTTATCCTCAATGTGCTAACAAGGAAAGTAAATTTTAGTAAATAACAATAGCGAAAGAATCTCATGACTAATTGAGTATCAGCTGATCGATTTTTTCTCTATGAAATATTCTCTACGATTGGCCATCAGTTGATGAAAATGTCATTGACCATCAAGAGAAATAAAACCGAATTTCCTATTTACCTCAATGAAATATTTACATCAGTTACAGTGTAGCAATCATTCTGTTTGATTGATTTTTTCGTGTGATTCACTAGAAAATTCGATGGGTTTAATGTGAGATTCTTCCTACACAGACAGAATATCGATTATTATCTTAACTAGAATTTTCTAATCATTTCGATGGCAACAAATTTGTAAAATCTTTAATATTCAAGTTTTCTTTGAATCAATCAATAGCTTTAATTAGTCTGAATGAGATTCTTGGAATTTTCCCTAATGTCGTTTGATTGAATGTAATGGACACTTAATGGAGACGTAATTATCAAGTATTCAATATTCTTTTGATACTTAGAAAATTCTTGGAAATTAAAGTTTGATTTTATTGATTTTTTTTCTTTTGGAAGTTAATATTTTATGTGCTGATTTCGTTCTTTCGATGTAAGCTGCAATTAGTCGAATCAGTTATGTGACATAAGTTCAAGTTTAGACTTCATTTAAGCATTATTGCTGACTTATTCCTTAAAGATTTTGGCTTTTAAATTCAATAAAAGCCATTTAATTAAAAAAAATCCAGAAGAAGCTTTACTGGATGTTCTTTAAACCAGTTTAAAGTGTTCTCAAGCTATAAGTCAATTATTATCTATAAATTTTCCTTTTTCTAAGAAATAATACTTATCAAAACACAGTTACTATTAAAACTTACTAATTTAAATTCTTTAAATTATTCCTAATTTTAGCGGATGCATTGATAGAGCCAGGAGATGATCCAGAAGTGATTAGAGCTAAATATTTTATTAGAGATGAATTTCTGGTAAGTTGAAAGAGTATTTTTAAAAATAATTGTAGGCTGAAAACCTTTAAATCACTCCCAACACCAGCTTAATGAGAGAATAAGGTTTAAATGAAGGAGTTGATAAAAAATCCCACGCAATTTGGAAGTTTATTTTTAAAAATTTCATAATTTATTTTCAATGAATTCTTTTTTTAAACATTTTGATCCTCGTAATCTTCTTAGATGCTGAATTTAATTGTTTACTACGCAACATTAGAGAAAAAACGTGGTTTTTGTTTATTTTAAGGCTTGATATCTTTAGCTTATTTTCTGAGAATTTTCTTACGTCATTGGTAATTCCTACTTGCTAAATTTCCTCTTAAACATAAAGAAAGATCAAATTATAATTTCCATGACTGTCATAAAAGCTTGTAAAACATGTGGGAATTACCATGAGCATGCAGTTTATTGCTAAAAGTTGCAATGCAATCAGACAAGTTTTGAGTAGATCTTGAGGGAAGATTTGAAAAAGCATTTTTCAATTGGTGCAGAGAATTTGCATATTATGAGATGTCATGAATAATAGACATGAAGGAGGAGCATCTAGTTTGCCTTACAAGATTCTTGAAAAATTTCTGAGGATGCACTTAATTGTTCTGGATGATTCAAAAAAATCATCAATTGAATTTTGGGTGAGGGGAGGGATGATGGTTGCAGTGATGTATCCTTGTTTTTCAAATTTCGTGCTTAATAGAAAACTTACTTTGCAGTTTGTAAGTATTTTCAGCATCCCATCTCAAATTAAGGATCAAAATATCACTCAATTCTGCAATTGAAAACTTGATTTTAGTTTTCCAAGCTCCTTGATAAAAATGAATCTTAAACCATCTTTTATCCCTGCTTCGGGGCGAATTTAAAAAAATGCGCTTTGTGCACCAACAATTTATTACTCAAATGGAGCTTATCCAAAATTTTTGAAGGGAGGAAAGGTGGGGGGGGGGGGGTGGGGTTAATATATTTTTTTTAAAAAAAACTCCTGCAAATTGAAGAAATTTTTTCAGAAAAAAAAGAAATTGACTCAAAATCTCCTCCCCCTACCCTTTAGTTCAATCGATGTAGTTAGCATTTCCTGTTTATAATTGAAAATTTTTCAAAAAAAGAGACATTATTATTATTTATTGTACAATATCTCTCAGCCTCATTCTATGTATCTACATTGATGTACGTGTATTTCTTTATTTGCAGCGCATATCAACAGCGAGTGGAGATGGTAAACATTATTGCTATCCACATTTCACATGTGCAGTTGATACAGAAAATATTAAGAGAGTGTTCAATGATTGTCGAGACATTATTCAGCGAATGCATTTACGCCAATATGAACTTTTATAAATTTATTTTTCTATGATCATAAAGTGGATATATATAAATATATATTTAAAAAATGAAAAATTAAGAAAAAAATGAGTATAAAAATAATTTAAAAAGAAAAAAAATAATGGAAAGCAGTGAAATACTTCTTAAGAGATATAAAAAAAAACTTCATACAGTATGAAAGATGCAAAAAAAAACATAATAATAATAATATAAAATGAAATTAAGTCATCAGCACATGTATATCCAAGAAACACAGATTCTTTTCCAAAAATAAATAAATAAAGTATGAAATGGTAGATTCAACTGATAAGCATTTACACACACAAACAAAAACATTATGAGAGAGAGAGAGAAGAAAATTCTACCGAAGATAAAAACAAGCTAAGTAATAAAAGATTCAATAAACGTACACCATTAGTTAATTTAATTTTTAATTACATACATATATTTTTTTTGAGAACAAAACAAAAAAAGGAAAGAAGAAGAAAATTTTCTATAAAAAAAAATTAATAATTGAGGATGTATAATTTTTGATTGAATTAAATAAGGTGAAATTCATTACTGACATAATTTTTTAAGAATGAATGAAATGGAGATGAAATGTTTATAACAAATGAATATTAAATATAGTTTACCGATGTTTCTCACACTTCTCACTTCCAAAAACAAACAAACAAAAAAAAAAAACTCGACATTAATTCTTTTGATAATAGATTTATTAAGTTCATTTCATTTTCCTCGTAAAAATAATGAGCAACATTAAAAAGTCCTGCAGAGAAATGAGATGAATGAGGAAAACAGAGTTGTTATCTGATTTGGATAGGCGCTGGCAAAAATTTGGTTTTAATCAAGATAACAAGGTTTAATTTAAACATAATAGCTCAAAGCTAGTTTAAAATAAACTTTGGAATGTTCTGGCTACTATTTTTGAGATGTAATCTGTAAGGTTTGAGAACAATTCATGTCAGAGCTTTCTATTTTAGCCTTGATTGATGTTAAAGATTCTAGACTTTAAAAATATGAAAAGATTCACACATCAAAAGTTCATGTCGATATATGTTGCTTGAATTCATAATGTTTGATGATCTTTTAGAAGATCCAACATATAGGTGAGTTATTTTAGTTCAATTAAGATTTGATGATTAATTTGTCTGAAAATTCATTTTTGAAGACAACAACCTTAAAAATACTTGGAATAATCAAGCTATTTGTTGATTTGGATTCTGATCATAGTATTTAAGAAATCACATGAATTTGAACGAATAAGATCTAATAAATCAAATTTTTATTTAACTTTTTTATGATCTTAGATTTTTAATTTATGTCATTTCAAGGATAATTTTAAAGCAAAATCAAATCTAATATTACGAATGCAATGAGAAGTTGGTATTAATAGTTCGACAAAGTAATGAAAATTGAAAAAGATATCAAAAGAAAATGATGCTGTTAAACTATTTCTAACCATTTAGGCAAAATCCATAGTTGATCAAATTTGATCAAAATATAAAAGATTGAAAAACATTGATCAATATTGAACAAAAGTGAATAAATGTGGTCGAAATCTTCTCTACACCTTTGAATTGTTCATGATTTTAAAACTTAGTCTCCAAATTATTGCAAACAAGAACCTAGTTTCCTTAAAAATCTACAGATTATTCATCCTGAATCAGATAACAACTCCGCAGTCCAAAAGATATCAAAGATAAAGTAAACATTTCCTTTAATCATCAAAACAATGTAATTTTGAGATTGTTTTATAATTCATACCCATAAAATACACAAATACACACATTACATTTACACATTTTGCATGCAATTTTTATTTTTTGAATAGCAATATTTTTTTCAATTTTTTTATTTATTAATAAATTAAAAAAAGATGAAGACGAACGACGATGAAAAAGAGAAGAGGAAGATGTAGCGAATGAGAATGTTAATTATGTATACAAGAAAACGCACCATTTTATTTAATTTCTAGTCAAATTTCAATTTACATTGAAAACAAAAAAAAAATTAAAATCTTTCTACTGTTGCCAAAAAAAAGGAGGAGGAAGAAGAGAAATGAAAATAATTCGTTAATCATTTTCGGTTTAATGCATTGGATTTGCAGCAAACACTTTTAAAGCTTTTATTTTTCTTTCTTTCTTATCTAAAACTTTCTTTTTGTTTCAATAACTTTATCAATCGGGGTGTGAAAAAGGCTTTTTGGGGTTGAAAATTTCGAGTACAACATGTGAAGTGGGAATTCTTGATAAACTCATAAAATATTCAGGTTCGTAAAATAACAAAAGAATCACTTAGTTGATTTAATCATTAAATTCCAAAAAATTCTTTCTTCTTCGTGGAAGGAAGTTGCAGGTGACGTTCCGTTGTACCTTATTAATGTCAACAATAAACATAATTCTTAGGAAGATATTATTGAATTATTCAATGCTGTTCAATTCAAATCAAGCTATGTTGATGGAAAACATAGATTTATTAAGTTGCAGTAAAGATAAATTCTTAATTAGTCATTTAATTGATTCTGGATGTTAATCTACTCTGTCATTTCTCTTACAAAGGTTTCTCTAATTTAATTTGCTGAAGTTTCAGGAATAAATGTTAAAGTTTCAAACTTTTTTATCAATTAAGCTAATTTCAAAAACTTATTTTGACAAATTTAGTAATTTAAATAGCTTAACTCAACCAAGAAACCAGTAAAATTCATAATAGAGCGATTCATTTTCTTCTTTTAAGAATTTGGAAGCTGAATTTACAGAAATTTCATTTCAATATGCTGAGTCGTTTAAAAATCAATCATAAAATTCAGCAGATCAGCTTGCTGAATTCAATCAATTTTATTTAGCAATTCAGCATTTAATTAATATAATTTTGCAATTATATAGCTGAATTCAGCAGTTTAAATGCCTAATTCGGCAGTTCAAATGCTGAGTTCAGCAGATCAAATTCATAATAAATCAATAAGATTATGTTGAATTAAGCAATTATGAAAAGTCAAATTATGATAAGTTTTCCAAATGATTTCAACAAATGAAAACTCAATTAAGCAGCTCATTAAAATCTAAAGTTATTGACTTATAAATCTAAATTTTCCAACTCAGCGAACTGAATTCAGCAATCAGCAGCTATATTTAGAAACTTTCGCATTTCAATAAACTTAATTCGGCAACTCAAATGATTAATATTGTGAATTTAAAAAGTTTAATTCAGCTCGTCAAGTTGACGTTATTTATGAATGTAATTTGTTACAATGATTGTACGGAAATATGCCTGCGTAAAAAAATTCCTACAAATCCTATCGAAATGTTTACAAATTTCATTCATAAACAGAACAACAAACTCACGGCAACCCCATAATCCTATAAGTTGTAAAACGATACCTACCCTCAAAAAGTATTATTTCTCATCCCTAAATGCTTCAAAATATATTGCAATTGAACGAGCTTTTTCGTAATTTTAAGCTTTATTGAGACGAGAATAAAAAAAATAAAAAAAAATTTATTATGAATTATTAAATGAGAAAAATTTATATGCATTCACTTGTTGATGCTGCTCGTGAATCCTTTAAAGCGATCTTTCTACCTTTTGTGAAGAGTAAATAATAGAGAATGAGAGAAGAAATAGATATATTTATACATTTTATTTTAAAAAACTGTTGATTTACTGTTATTTTATTATTATTACTAATTATTATTATTATTATCATTATTATTCATTATTATTATTTAGTCTAATTGCTTTAAAAAAATATTAATTAAAAAAATAGATGAAAAAAAAGTAAAGTATGGTCCAGAAAAACAAAATTGGGTCAAATGGGAGTTTTTTCTAATATTCATTGACATTTCAGGACTAGTTTGTGGTCTTTCAGATTATTTTTTGATGGAATCTTTTTAATTATTGGTAGGTAAATGTATATTTTGAAGACTCTATAGTTCCTCAGTTTTTCCATAAACTTTTAATAGCCTTGAAATAAATTAATAAGCAATATTAAGATCCTGAATGGATTTTTCAAATTTTCATCCTCGGAAGTAAAACTGGGGTCAAATTTTCTATTGTAAACCTTTAAGATTTCAAAATATAGGTACTTTAAGCTTACTTCAAGGGGATCGATTGTCTGATATGCCTAAGTATGCATTAATCTTCAAGTCAACTCAAATTTTTGTTCATATAATTTTTGAATCGAGTTTGAGCTCTGCCAATCGATTATACTGTAGTTGTATGGATTTAGTGATACCACTGGCTTGTGTATAGCCTAGGGTATACCCAAATTATACTTCTAACGTATTCTGTTAAGCTGTATTCCTGAAATATAAACTACTCGAATTGCACAAGTCGGTTAATTGATCATAAATCCGCTACTAAGCCGGTGTGACTGGCATGGTGCTGGATTTAAATCAAAGCCCGCACCATGCCAGAGTCATACCAGCTTGGTGCCAGATTTCAATTCGATTAACCGACTTGTGTTATTCGGATTAGTTGTAGTGCATACTATAGGATTTTACAGAGCTACCAGCTCGCTTAAAACAACTTTCTCTCATTTTGAATCTGTTAAACGTTAGAATCCTGTCCCTTAAACCTCGTTTCTTAATTTCTTCCAAAAAAATTGAATAAAATAATATTCAAAAAGCTCACAATTTCCACCAATCTTTTCTGGACCACACTTTTATCTAAAATAAAGATGATTTTTCATTTCAATTTAATAATAAAAAGGAGAAATTAAACTGCTTGTCCTCCCCAGGTTAGGAACAAAAAAAAAATTATAAAGAAAAAAAAATATTGTAATGGACATATTCATTAAATTAAAAAGAATTAAAAAATGTAGAATGCGAAGTAATAGCAAAAAAAAACTGAAATTAAATTTCAAACTTGAATAGCAAAAAAAATGTAATAATAAGGAAAAACAATTGATATTTCTGTAGTTTCTTTTCTACTGTGCTATTCTCCCAAAAAAGAAATCGAAAGAAAAAAAAATCTTTAAGCCTTTATATGAAAAAAAAATAATAACTTGACTTCTTTTCCTGGGTAGATTCATTAACAAAATTATAAAAAAATTATAAGTAAAAAAAATCATGAATGAAATGCAGGATGATGACAGTTTGGTTTATTTGATTTGCTTGTTTTAAAATTGGTTTTTCGTCTGAATTAATGAACTATTTTAAATTTAAAAGATCCAAACAATCCTATGTCAATCATGTGATCAATAATTTTGAAAATTTATATTTTTCTGAGTAAGTTTTACGCTCAATTTAATTTATTTAAAGATTTTAACTCTTAAGTTATCTTAGCTTTGCCTACAGAAAAATTTAAAGCTGAATTTAGCGTTATTCAGCATTATTCAACTGAATAAAGCTCTATTTAGCTGAATTCAGCTGAATTTTTTTTGCATTTAGAGATATCCAGCAGCAAAAACTGAA